TTCGATTAAGAAAAAAAAACAAAACGACAAAGATGATACGGCGGAATATCCAGTGCTACCAGATACTTCTCAAAGCAAGGACTTGGAGATTACCACCCAAAAATCTACAAAAGCCAATAATGGCAAAAGCACTAAAAATATGGAGGCCAATAATGGCCAAAGCACTAAAAGAATGGAGGCCAAAAATTTGTCGCTCGACGAAAGACACAGTGATAAAATCACTGGAGTCCTTGGGGTTCAAGCCCTTCAGAATGGTTAAAGGAGCTGGCTTTTTCATGTGGGACGTATTGTTACGCACGCCGGAAGATTGCGTTGCGGCTTCTAGCCGAAATTTGATCACAAAAGATCTGATCCTCCGCACGGAATACAAGGCCGAAGAAGGATCACTCGCAATATATGAGGTCCCTCCTCAGATTATCGGGAAACACCGCGCGGCATATCTAGCCCAGTTCGGCGAAATACTGGGCGCTTCCTGCGATAGTCTGACCGGGGGGTGGAGTTTTGAGATACTATTAGATCGAGATGCCTTCCTCTCCATCCCCAACTGTCTGGTAGTAGGTAGATTGAAGTTGCCGGTCATTGTGACCGGCCGTAAACCGGTATGCTGGAAGTGTGGAGTAACTGGTCACCTCTCCTCTTCCTGCCCAGAGAAGAAGGCCTCTGGAATTCAATCTCCTGTTGACCAAAATCCCCCTCTGGCCGAGTCTTTACCTACCACCTCGCCTGTAATGGGCATGCTAGCTTCTGGGGCCGGTACGGTTAAACTTCCGGTTGGCCAAACATCTAAGGCCATATTCCCCAAAGAGCATTCGCCCGCTGCTAGTGCAGTTGTGGAGAAGGGGGAGGGGGAATGGCTGGTTGCTGGTAAGGCCAGAGGGAAGCGCCAGACAGCGGGTCCTCAGTCCCCTGAAGCCCCAAGGACGAAAGGCACTTACAGCCCCACTCCTTCTGGCAATGTTAAGGGCGATGTCCAAGCTTCCATTATATAGTTTATACGGATCATAGGCTTGTCCGGGTCCGTGTAAACTTAGATAAGCCTAAGGTTAGACTGGCTGGGTAATGGAAATTTAACTGTTCACTATTTGGTGAGCAGGATTTCCGGGACCAGCTGCTACTAATGATACAGAGGGAATTGACGGAGGCGGTTGTTGGGAACGCCTGGTGGGACAAATTAAAATCCCAAATTAGAACGTTTGCTGCCGATTTTAGTCGTCGACTCAATCTAGATAGATTATCGGCGCAAACGGCTTTAGAACAAAAAGTCGATCAGGCAGTGAAATCCCGTGATAGTGGGGAAATAGCCTTAGCGAAGGCAGAGTTGTCCTCCTTGCTTATCTAGAAGAATCAAGCTCTGGTAGTTAGGGCTAGGTTAAAAAGAATGTCCTCTGAGGCGACGAATATGGCCGCTGAATTGCGCGCAGAGGAAAATCGGAGCGCAGCTCGGCGACATATCGTGTGCGTCACATTGCCGGATAAGCAGTCCGTGACTACAAACGCGGGCATATGCGAGGCCTTTCGGGATTACTTTCAGGAACTTTTCACCAGGGAGCCCGGTCTGGGCCCTGCTCGGTTCGAAGCCTATTTAGCCAACTTTACCTGCCTCGAGGCAGCTGGAGCGGCTGGGTGCAAGGGTCCCATTACAGAGTCGGAAATCTGGGAAGCGCTGAAACAGGTTAGCCTGGATAAATCTCCGGGACTAGATGGTCTTCCCTACGAATTTTACTTGAGGCAGTCGCCCGTTTTTGTTCCTTTGCTGGAACTGATCTTCAACAACTGATGAAGCAGGGATCTATGCCCCAACGCTTCACCAGGTGTGTGATCAAGTTGCTGCGGAAGGACAAGAATGGTGAGAATGGGTTAAATATCTTTCGCCCTTTGACCATGTTAAACACAGGGTTAAAGATTTTGGTGAAGATCTTAGCCAACCGCTTGCAGCTTGTCCTGTCTAGTCTGATTGGCCCCGAACAGGCTTGTGCTGTGAAGGGCAGGACTATTCAGGATAACCTGCATATGGTACGCTTGATCTTAGAACAAGTCGATAGTGAAACCGCGCTGATCAATTTAGATCAGTCCAAGGCCTTCGATAGGGTTGACCATCGTTTTCTGGAGACTGTCCTTTCGGTGGTCGGTTTCGGAGCCGACTTTCGCTCCTGGATTCGACTTTTGTATGCGACTCCCGGTGCGCTGGTGGAGGTGAATGGGGTAAGATCGGAGCCTTTCGTATTGTCTCGTTCTATTCGTCAAAGTTGTCCGCTTTCGCCTTTGCTTTATGTTCTTGCGTTGGAACCATTCCTTCGCAAGTTAAAGGCGAATCCGGTCCTGCGCGGAATTTCCCTGCCTGGGGCTACCACCTCAGCCAGGTATTCTACCTATGCTGATGACGTTTCGGTTCTTGTGTCGAGCAGAGCCGAGATTGACGAAGCCAGCAAAGAGATCAGTGGTTATGAGATGGTGACAGGGGCCAGGATCAATCGCGATAAGTCTGTTGGCTTGCGGTTGGGTGCGTGGAAGGGAGTTTCTCTTCCCGGACCTTTCCTCTGGACGGATGGACCGGTCGAGATACTCGGCGTCTGGTTCGGTCCTGATCTCCAGTTGGAAATGAATTGGTCGAAGGTACAAGGGAAGGCCGAGATCGCGGTTAATCTGTTGTCTCGGAGGAGGCTTTCCTTGAATGGGAGGGCGGAAGTATGTGTTTCATACATCTATCCGATTCTCCTGTACCGACTCTCTGTACTTCCACTTCCGTATACCAGACTAATATTATTAGTAAGGCTTTTGTTCTCTTTCTTTTGGAGAGACAAGGCCGCTATGGTATCTCGGGAGATCTGTTGCCTTCATCCCTCTGAGGGTGGTCTGGGTATGCCTAGCATTGAGATTCGTCAATATATGCTTCGCATCGCCTTTCTAGACCGAATGTGTCGCGGATCGGATGGAGAGTGCGCCTTCTGGAAGGAAGACGTCCGTAAACATTTCCCATCCCTGAGAAGTGTGCACTCGTGCGAGGAGGAGGCCGGCCGTACACCCCGTGCCGAATGCCCCTTCTACCGCGAATGTCGTCGTGCTCTGAAACACTTCTTACGGGCGTTGGATGGCCTCTCCAACGTCTAGGCGTTGTCTCGTAGAGCATTGTATCAACTGTTAGGGGGGCGTTCAGGGTTGACGAGCTCGGTCTTACAAAGCAGGAGGCTCGCTCGATATGGCCTTGGGCGCCTGGGTTGAAATGCCTCAATAACGACGAGGCATCACTCACCTGGCTGGTGATTCGTGGGGCCCTCTGGACTTTGTTCAGCGGGCTTGGAGAAATCTCCAAACTGCCGTAGCTGTATTGGGGAAGTCGAGACCATTGGTCACGCCTTCTTTCATTGCAGGGTGGTAGTGCCGTTGTGCAAGTTTGTTGAAGGCCTCATGGTCCACATGTTGCAAGGAAAGTTCTTTGTCCTTGAGACCAGGTCTGTTTGTAGCAATGTGGTCCCGCAGATGATGAAGGCTGAACAGTATGTGTTCTGTTGCTTACTAGGTGTTATGAGAGTCGTGATTTGGACGACGCGTCAGAAGGAATTCTATGGGAGCGAGAAGTTCACTTTTTCCCAACTGATCTTGTTCTTTAAGCATCAGCTTAAAGTCAAGATTAGGACGGAAAGGCGGCAGCTCACCTCATCGGAGTTTGGCAAAAGGTGGGTGAATCTTGCGCGTATGTGCCGAGTAAAAGGGGCTGACCTGGAGTGGCATTTTGATACCGGTTAGGCATCAGGATATTGTTTTCCTGGTTTTAACTTGGGCAACCCATCCCTGGATTTAGGCTAGAAGTAGGTTTTTGATTCTTTAGTTATTTTCTTTTCCTTTTATTTCTGTCCCTTTTTTTCCTTTAGTTTAACTCTCCATCCCCTCCCTCGTTAGGTGGTCAGTGATGTCAGTTTTCGCGTGTATGTTTTTCGTATTTGTTGTTGTGTCTGAATGAGTGCATGTTTGTGTGAGTGCTTGAGATGGATGAATGTTTTTCTATATTCTTATAGTCCCGCATCGATTTCGTCCAGTTAACTGATTTTTCTGCCACATTTAAGGTTTGTGTTTTTTTTATTACTAACATGATTTTGTTTACTTTCTTGTAAATAGTTTATAACCATATTGTATATACATCATTGGGGTGTTTTTAGCTTGTTGTTTTTTTATTCCCCTCCCCTCACAGACAACGATTTGTACATATGGGGACTATTTAGGATTTTCATTGAGACAATGAGGTATTTTGGTGGATATAGTAAGAAAGGTAAGTATGAATGTGTTGTTTTGGTGCTAGGAATAGTGTTTTGTTTGATAGGGCCAGTGGTTGGGGTTAGCTAAGTTATAAATTAAGACAAATGATGACCATTCTTTTCCCCATCCCCTTTTTCGGCCTTGTGCCACATTTACTGTATTGTTTACAGTAATAAATATTGTTTTCTCTTCAGTCTCTCTTGCGTCTCAATCCTTGCTGCCAAGATGTAATCTTCAAGAGCTCCCGTCTTAACCTTGCGGTCAGAGTTAAAGACCATTACCAACATTTACGCAAGTACGAACTCTTAACTCTTCTGAACTCTCACCAACTTTATCCAATACACAATTCCTTACATCCTAAAGGAACTTTATTCTTCTAAACTACAGTTTAATAATTACTTCATCTTTATGAGCTCAGGTACAGATATTTCCAAATCTAAGAGACATAACCTTCAGCTTATATGCATATACATCAACACTAATAAATTCAATTGCTATGTTTGAATCATTACATTCTGTCTTGTATTTTATACTATGTGCTATTTTACGTCAAATATAAATTACATTGTGCACGCCACATTGGATAGTAACCTCCAGCGTCTTTGCTTTCGTTAACCACGCCTTACCTAGTCAAAAGATAAATATATGTAGTACACATTCACCACCTCCACCTTCATTTCTTAAGTCGCTTTGATGTTTACTTTTTTATTTGATTTTATAACCTGTCATTTATTTTCTAACTTGATCAAATGTTCAGGCTGTTTCAAACACACTCTTTCTCTCTGGTGTTAGTTGAAGCTTTTCCGAGAGTTCTTTACCAATTAGGCCAATTACAAATTTGTCCTGTATTTCTTCCTCCTTATTTGCAAATGCACAGTGTTCTGCTAATTCATATAGCACTCTAGTGTAGATCTCAGTTGTTTTTCCGGTGCATTGTGTTCTCTCGCGGAATCTCGTACGCTCGTAAATTATATTTTTTGGTGGTGCTAAATACACGTAGAATTACTGATTCAAAATTTTTCTCCTCGACTTTTTTTTTTTTTTGATGAGAAAGAGCTATATATTTTCCCTCCTTTACTTCCCATAACGGATAATAAAGTATTTGTCTGACTTTCACTTGAGTCCTCATTTAATTGGGACGCGACTCTGTATCTTAAAAACTGTTATCTCCATATCGACCATGCATTTGGTTCTGTGAAATCAAAGCTCTCTGGAGTCTCTACTAAAGGCATTTTTTAAAAGATAATATTTCTGTCACTTTTGGCCCCACTATTGACACCATGCTTCGTCTGTGGGCTAAGGAATATCGTTGATAGCAGTAGCACACCAAAGCCGTTACATAAAGCGGAGAGCATCTCTGAAAATGACAGGGCAGGAAGAATGTGTTATTCACTCAACAATTCCATTTTAAAAAGAACCGCGATTTCGAAAGAACCGTGAATTATACATGCAAGGGGAAGCAACTCATGCTTCCTAACATTATTATTATTACTAAACAGTAAATGTAGAGATATTGGTGTCATTGATGGAAATTGTAAAATAAAAGGCTTAGTTTTCTAATTCAATTGAATTTTAAAAGTATTTTTATAAATATTACTTTTCACAATCCTTGCCTCCTGAAAAATATTACCTTTTAAAATGGTTAGGACAGTTATACTCGAATTGCGAAAGAACAGTCAATTTTTCAACTAGCATTTTTCGTAGTAAACAATTTTAGAAGTTCAACTCATTTAAACTACAGAATACTCAGTCCGTAAATTTAAAATTGGGATAAGACAAACAATACAACAAGCCTTAATGGGAAAATGACAGAACATTCCCGAAGTGTTGCAATAAAAATTTTAAATATTCATAACAATAAAATATAATATTGATGATAATTTGAGTAGTAAGGTATTAGGAAAAAATACCCTGAAAAAAATTCAAAATTCGTCATTTTAAAAATCTTCAAAGTTCGTTTCCATGGATGGTTTAATACAAAAACTGAAATGAAATATGATTTAAAACTTGTCGTATTTAAATTTGATAAACTAAAAAAAGCTAACTAAAAATAAATATTTTAAATAAGGAACAACCCAATTTACTACATTATTCAACATACAAAAAGAACAATTTTTAAGACAGAAATAAAAATGATTGCGCGACATGGTAGGAGTGGTAGGGTGGTATGAGTGAAAAATGGTCTCGTTTCAGTTTGTACAACCGTCATAACATGAAGTATGGCATTTTTTAAAGAAAGGTATGGGAAAGAGACGAAGGTAGTAGCAAGGCTACGAGTAGAAGTAGGAGGACTTGAACAAGTAAAGTTGTAACTAAAATAATTGTCACCGAGAAAGAAAATAAGGTGCATAGTTTTAGTAAAAAAAAAAAATAGTAATATAAACAGGAGAAATAAACAAAAAAACTTTAAGTAGTAAGTAAATGAATATTAGTAGGTAATAAATACTTGATTTTGCCAGAGAAAATAGAAGGTAATCACTACTAAATCAGTATTGAATTGTCAATTGTGTTTGTATTGGTTTAATTTTGTTTGAAAAAAATCATTAAGCAGTCTGTTACTTTTTTACTTAAATAAATCATTTCAAAACAAATTTAAAATGGCAGTGATATTAATTTTATTTTTCACTCAGGTGGAAAAAACGCATGACAAAGTAAAAAAAAAAATTACACTTGTCAAAAAGTAAAGTGGTCACGTGATCCAACAAGTTTTTTATTCATCTTTTCCTTTTTCTTATATATATATATATATATATATATATATATATTCTGTTAATTCTTTTTACAATCTTGAAAAATCTTGAAACGTTTTACCACAAAAAACTCGCTCGCATTATGAGGTGAAGTAAACAATTTATTGCAATGAACTCACTGTAGTAGCAGCAGTGAAAAGAGTGAATGAAAAGAAGAAGGAGGAGGAGGATTAAACTTAGTAGTGGTGGTTCTATAAGAAAAGCAAGCAGGTGCCCCCTCCCGTTAATTTGTCTTTTGAAAAGAAGAAGAAAAACAAAAAGCACCTAAACCACAAAAAAAAAAAAAAAAACTTACCTGCTTACTTACTGCTAAACGAAAACTTGTGGTGTTGCTGTTTTTGTTTTTTTTTTATTATTCGTGTGTGATATCTGTACTGTACATATAGATTGCCAACTGAGCGGCTTAAACCCAACCAGTGGCCATATCACAAACCTCGACTTGTAGTCTCTAGCAGGTATGTATTATTTCTGATATATTTGTGTTGTGCCTATTTAGACGGTTTCTAATCCCATCAAGAATCCAATAATAAACTTTCTCCGGTACACTTCCGTAGCTAGGTGGTGTGAACTAATTTTTTTTCCTCATGAGTATTTATTTAAAAACAGTTTTAACTTATCTCTCTTAGTCTTGCCTCGGAAATCAACTTTTTTTCTATATTGTACAAATTTTTTTTAAAGTTCTATGACATTTACGCACCTTGTCAACTTAACCAGGTATTGTAAGTTGTTTAATTTTTCCTGTATTGTTTATCTTCGTTTCTTTGCTTGTCAATGAACTAGATCACTTTTCTTTTAGAGTCATCCTGTTGGATTTTTTTTTTTTTTTGCTTGAACCATTTTTAATAGGAGTAAAAAAAAAAAAAAAAAATAAATAAAAGAACCTTTTGCAAAGAATAACATTATTTTTCTTTGTATACTCTCCAGTTTCCATGTAACAAAACTTATTTGAATGAATGAGAATTTATTGTATCATTTATTTTAAATAAACTAAAGTTTTTTTTTTTTCTCTTAAGTTCTACATCGTGTCGGTAGTAATTGTTTATTTAAATTTGTCTTAATGTTTTTTTTTTTGTTTTTTTTTTTTCTAAAATAAAAATTAACTCTTGATTTGAATGTAAATTCATTCGTTTGTTATAAACAGTTTGAAAATTTTCCTGTCGCTATGTCAATCTCTTAGAGAATGCAACGCCTTTCAGTTTCAATCCAAAGCAAACTACGAAATCTGAAGCACCGATACAACTCAATTACAGTTTTTTTTGTTTTTGTTTTTTTAAAAAACTCAAAATGCTTATTGTTATACGAAATACAATTTATTTTATAGCTAAAAATATTAAACTGAAGTTTTGATTTTAAAAAAAAACAAAAATATACAAAAAAGTGTGATCAGGTGTTCCCTTGCAACTTCCTGTTTTGACTTTCTTTACACAAATTTTATTTAAAGGACTAGTTCGCTCACTCCTCTTTACGGAAGTAAAAAGAAAATGTATCTTAGATAACTTATTCCTTTCTGTTATTACATAATTAAACTTCCCTTTATCGTCGCCACCATAAAGTCAGACAACATGGATTGCATTTTGATATTAAAAAACAAGAAAAACTACTTGTTTGTTCCTTGAAAAATAACACTAACACGGAAGTGAAGGTGCATCTTCATTTTCACTTTGACTTTTTACACACATTTATTTAACTTAACAGAAACATTCTTATGTGTGATGTCTGTGTGCTTCCCCCACTAAATTTGATCTAGCTCGTTCGACAAATAGTTTTGTTTAAAAATCTCCAAGAATTCGCTTAAAAACGGTTACTTGAAAAAAAATGCACAAAAACTTAAAAACAAAATTTGATGGTTTTAAAAAGAAAAACAAAAACATTTGTGTCAAGATGAAAAGTTTTTGGATGTAACAATCTTTTTCTAATTCTTTTTAGACTCTTTTCAACCAAAATGGTTAGGGTTTTTTTTTTTTTTTTTTTTTTTCCTGGCATCATCGCGGGACCATAACTTCATACGGGAAATTTGAGTGCCTTTATGCAGTGAAAGACACATTGGTTTGGAACTTTTTGCAAAAATCAGATAGTTATCGAATTTTAAGGGAGCCAGGACTTATTCAGAAATGGATGAAAATGAAATTTTTTTTTTTTTCTCTCGCACACACAAAGAACCACAAATTAAAGAAAAAAAAATACTCCGAATCATAAAAAAAAAAAAAACCAAAACATTAGAAAAGCTTTTATTAAAAATGTATTTTTGGAGACAACTACGTTTTTCTGAATTTTTTTTTACTTGAAAAAAAATTCGAATTTCTTTGTGTCGTGTTCTGTATAAAATAAACAACTAAACATACGTATTTTTGTAAATACGGATGTCCGTACACGATATTGTCAGAAAATGAGCAGCAATTATATAAAGTTTATTTGTAATTTTCTAAATTACAAATAATATAAATTTTAACAAAAGACTAAAAAAATCCAAAGTACCCAAAATTCAATAATGCCTAAATAAAATATTTTAAAATAAATGTTTAAGATTTACTGGATACAAAAATTAATTTAAAAAAAAAATGTTCGTTTTATTCGTTATGTAATTTTATTTCCATTATCTCTACCTTACTTAAATTTTCCAGTTTGTCAAGACCTCATTAAAAAAAACAAAAAACGCCCAACCAATGTTAAAAAAAAAAGATGCTTTTCCGCGATATTTTAAAACTGAACAAAAAACATTTTCAATTCCGATTTAAACATTATTAAATCAGCTAATTTTTCTCGTGTTTCAGAAAACTTTATTTTTAAAGTGAATTATAATGTATTGACAAATTTGTCAGTGTTTCATTGATTTTACTGTTAATCAGAAAAAAATATTCCAATCAATAAATTCTGTTTGAAATACAGTGAAGTACTTTCCTTATTGGAAATATTAATTTCTTGGGATTAAAACTAAAATAAAAGCTTCAGAAAAGACTTCATTTTTTTTTTTCCTTTTAGGTAGTTAGTTATGTTTAACCAATATTTTGTATGCTTTAAAATTTTTAAACATAGTCAAACAACTTGATCACGTAGAGTAGACTTAATTAATAATTTTGATCTGATTTTTTTTCCCCCATATCTGAAGAAGCATTTCGTATGGAATAGGCAAAAATTGTATTTTTAACATAACTTTGCTGACATTTTCATGTCAACTTAGATTCCGTAGAATTTATTTGCAGATGCTAATTATCACTAAACTTCTTAATTAACCTATCTATAGTGATAGGTTACTATGGCTAATGAAGTAGAGCGCAGATAAGTCAAGGGAAATAACTCTAATTAGTACTTAATAGATTTGTGGTATCTCCTTCAGGCAGACTTTTCTCTCTGTTATTTGGAGAGCTAATTGAATTTGACATTACTTAATTCTCTAAATTAAAACATTTAAATAGTGATAACAAAAATTGCTGTGTTATAGCAACAAATACACAAATTGGGTCATTTTTATTAAACTAATGATGTCAATGCTCTTTGTTTATGAATTGTAAGGGACACTTTTTTCAAAGTGACTTGGAATTTGGTAAAAAATAAATAAGGTTATTTATTTCATTTTTTTCTATATATTTAGCAAAAATGATTTTTTTAATCGTGTTCTTTAAATTTTAATATACTGTAATCCCAATTGCCTTTAAAAGCAAGAGCATATATATATATATATATATATATATATATATATATATAAAAAAAAAAAAAAAATGTAGGTGGAGAACTTTTAGGAATGGCAGACAATATACATAAGTTTTCTCAAATTTTTTAATTAATTTGAGAAAACTTATGTATATTGTCTACCATTCCTAAAAGTTCTCCACCTACATTTTTTTTTCTTTGCCATGTGCATGGAGTTATTGGTTGTATTTAATATAATTTACATTAAGAGTAATTGGATATAAAAATGCTGTAGCATGATATTTGCGTTTTTTTTTTTTTTTTTTTTTTTTTTTTTAAAAATCATTTTGTCTGTAGCTCATTAAAAAACGTTTTGTGAAGTACATGTATTTGAAGTGAACTGTGAAAAAGACCAAAATGAATGAAAATGCTCTTTTATAAGATGTTTTATGAAGTTTCTTATGGCATGGTGAAATAATGGATAGCAGCTTGGATTTGAGGAATCTGTGAGTCGAGTCTGAATTCCAGTTGAATCCATTACATTCACTTACGTGCTAATATCCTTGGGAAAGGTATGAATCCTTTTCAACCCCCAGCAGGACAGACCAGGTTCTATAACCTTGGATGGCAACTGGTCTACCGCAGAAAAAAATGGCAACCTACTGCGAGAAAAAAAAATCAGTTGTGTATCAAAAGGTACATTACTGCCTAAGCATGTATCATGCATGGCACATAACTGACTGACATGGCTACAACTATGGGAACTTTGTCAGAATCAAACTCTCTGCAGGCTAGGAGTGATAGACTATTTAACCATTATGCACAGTGAGGCATCCTGGTGTTTTAAGTATATTTAGCTATAAAATATTTCTTCCATTGTTAAAAATATGAAATTATACTCTATTCTTAAACTGTAAATACACAATAAGGATTTTGTTCTATCTACATTTTAATAATTTAAAATTTTTTTTTTTTTTTTTTTTTTATTATCGAATTATATTTTTCAATACTTTTTTTTTTTTTTTATTTTTTCTATTCCTCTAGTGTCAGAAGAGGGACCAAAGATTGAAATTTTAGCATCTTTTTTGCAAAAAACAAATTTTGGGATTTTAATGAAACTTCAGGACTCATTCACAAATGAATTTAAGAATGTTAAATGTTTCTGTTATAGAAATTTTTTACATCCCACTGATTTAATTTTATGAAATTTCAAGAAATTTAATTTTTTGTAACACTTAATATTTATATTAGTTATATGCAGAACTCCTTGGAGAATTTAAAGCAATTTTTTTTTTTTTTTTTTTTTTTTTTAAACCACTACCTCAGTTAGTGAAAATCTGACTCGTAAAATAAAAAATGCAATAAAATTTAAGAGCCTTTTTAATTCAATAACATGTCTTAAGAAAAATATTTTACAAATGAATAATGAATTTTTACAAGAATTTTTTTTTGTTTTTAAAATAAAGTTTAAAGCCAGATATTTCTGTATTAATTTCTACCAGTTAGGTGATATTAAGTAAAAATTCTATTGACTAATAACAAACAAAAAAAAAGCTCTGTTTAAAATTTTGAATTTTTTTCTTGTGTATAAACATCCAGATTTTTGTAAATCTGGACATCCATATATAACATTATTAGAAAATAAGAGTGATATTTATAGTAAATTTAATAACAAAATACTTCAAAATTATATATATAAAAAAGGTGTGCAGTGTTATAATCCTCAGTTTTTACAGATATGTTGTCTAGAAAACAAATTTAACTTCCACCTGTCAACACCTTAAATAAACACCTACTTCCTTTAAAAAAAAAATGCATTTCTGTGATA